ATAGAATAGAATAGAATAGAATAGAATAGAATAGAATAGAATAGAATTCTTTATTGGCCAAGTGTGGTTGGACACACAAGGAATTTGTCTTGATGCAAATGCTTTCAGTGTACAAAAAAGAAAAGATACATTCATCGAGAGTCAAGAATCATAAGGTACAACACTTAATAATAGTCATATGGTACAATAAGCAATCAAATCATACTAGGAAACAGTCAATATAAATCGTAAGGCTACAAGCGACAAAGTTACAGTCATACAGTCACAAGTGAGAGGGGATGGGTGATAAGGAGTGATAAGAAGATTAACAGTAATTGTAGTGCAGACTTTGTAATAGTTGAACAGTGTTGAGGGAATTATTTGTTTAGCAGAGTGATGGCTTTCACGGAAAAACTGTTCTTGTGTCTAGTTGTTCTGGTGTGCAGTGCTCTATAGCATCGTTTTGAGCGAAGGAGTTGAAACAGTTTATATCCAGGATGTGAGGGGTCTGTAAACATTTTCACAGCCCTCTTTTTGACTCGTGCAGTATACAGGTCCTTGATTGAAGACAGGTTGGTAGTAATTGTTTTTTCTGCAGCCCTAATTATCCTCTGAAGTCTGTGTCTGTCCTGTTGGGTTGCAGAAGCACACCAGACAGTTATAGAGGTGCAGATGACAGATTCAATAATTCCTCTGTAGAACTGTATCATCATCAGCACCTTGGGCAGTTTCAGCTTTCTGAGTTGGCGCAGAAAGAACATTCTTTGTTGTGCTTTTTGATGACGTTTTTGATGTTAGGTGTCCATTTTAGGTCATGTGGTATAGTAGAACCTAGAAATTTGAAGGTCTCTACTGTTGATACTGTGTTGTCTTTTTTCACTGAAAGACAAAAGGCAACAGAGTACAAGCAAGTATGGTTTGTAAGACAGAAAAATATCAAGTATATTGAATGGTGTTGGTATGCAGTTTATTTAGCTGTTTTTTACTCTTTTTGTCATGCTCTTATTTTCTTTTGCTTTCCTTTTCTTATATTTTGCATGTTTCATATGATGTTGCTCACCATGAACAAGAACATATTGGATATGTATCTTATTTTCATAAGAGTAAGCAAGGGTTTTTTTCTAATAGCAAGTAATTTTTTGGACTTTTTAGATTTAGCAAAGATGTAAAACATTCTGTGAGAAGACTACAAGAGAAATAGCATCCACAAGATAAGAGGAAAGTAGCAGAGGTGGTATTTAACCAGTTCACACCAGCTCGAGCAAACCGGTAGCAGTGATTTGGCGTGGGTCGCCGAACCGGTGGTGACCCCTGGCTGGCCATGCCCCTGACTCAGTCACCTGGTTGCCCAGTTGGTCTCCTAGCTTTCCCTACCACATGGCGGCCGTGGCGCAGCTTGGGCAGATGTCCCAGGGCTGCTGCACATGTGCAATCCATGTGCAGCCACTACACATGCAGTGTGCATGTGCACTAGCCCTGGGACATCCGCCCGCCTGCCCGCCCTCCCGGAGCATGATTTCTTCCTTCTCCCAGCAGACATGCCTCTTCCAGCCCGGCCCGGCTCAGCCAGCCAGCAGGTAGGTGAGCAGATGTCCCCGGGCTTCTCACCCCCCTTGTCGTGAGTTGCCTGCAGCTGTTGTGTGCTTTTTTCAGTGCAGCTGCAGTCCAGCAGCCACAGTGAAAAAAGCACACCCTGTTCTATGTGCCGGGCCTGGCAAGTCTGAGCAGCCGGTGTATAGAACAGAGCGGCGCCGGACTGTTGGAGAAGTGGAGCGAAGCTGGAGATCATTAGCTGCCTATTTCATAGTACAAGAAGCCTCCCCCAACTGGCCGGCTGGTCTCCTCTTTCTCTGCCTGTTTGTTCTATATGGCTGAGGAGGAGAAGAACAGTTGGCTGGTTGGGGGAGTCTTTCTGTGCCGAAAGAGGAGGCTGGAGACTGAAAAAGAGTCACCTCCAGCAGCTGTCCCTTTGGCCGGCTGATCTCCTCCTCCTTGGCCATACAGAATAAACAGGCAGAGAAAGAGGATAGGAGGATTCAGGGAGGCTTTCTGCACTGAAAGAGGTGGCTAATGATCTTTGGCTTCACTCCACTTCTCCAACGGTCTGGTGCTGCCCTGTTCTATGCATTGGCTGCTTGGACTTGCCGGGCCCAGCACATAGAACAGGGCGTGCTTTTTTGGTGTGGCTGCAGCTGCACTGAAAAAAGCAAGCAGCAGCTGCAGGCATCTAGTGACAGGAGGGGCGAGAAGCCCTGGGACATGTGGCCACCTGCTGGCTGACCGGGCGAAGCTGGGCTGGAAGAGGCGCATCTGCCAAGAGAAGGAAGAAAGTGTGCTCCGGGAGGGCGGGCACTGGGCAAATGTCCAGGAACCACTTAAAGGTCGACTTTAAGAGCACCCTCTTGGAAGAAGTCGAGGACCAAGAGCAAAAGTAGTGGCAGCAGGGGTGACGAGTGTGTGTGTCCCTTCACAAGGAGTGTGAAGGGAGGCAGACACCACGCCTCTGAGGAAAAGAGGATGTGCTGAAACCCTGGTTGTCACCCGGGAGGGGAACATGGAGGGACCCATCATGCTCCCGCTGCTCCTGCCACCGTTACTTTTGCTCTTGTTCTCGGCTTCTTCCATGGGGGTGCTCTTAAAGTCAATCTTTAAGAGCTGGAAGACTTTTTGTTAGATCGCCGCCAACTCTTCATTGGGAAAAGTGTAGCCCCTTGGGGCAAAAGTGGGCAAAATTCTCTGACTTTTAAATGCATTCACGTGGTGTCTGCCTCCCTTCATGCTCCTTGTGCACACCGGGAGCTCCTAACCAGAACGAGAGAGAGCGAAGTTGGCTGCTATGAGGCAAGCGCCTTGGCTTCCCCTCTTTCTCCTCATAGTCGTCCTGAGCCAGTGTGGTTCTTTACTTGGGCAGCCAGACAGCTGCAGCAACGCCCGCAGCAGCAACAGGCAGCGCCCCAACGAGGTATAGTGCAAATTTCTCTCCGAGGGGCTTCTGGCAAAAAACAAAACAAAAACCTCCCCAAAAGAAAACCCATTCAGCAGGCAGAGTCAGCAGGCAGTCGTGATCTTTAGTTGGGCTTTTTTTTTGTCAGCCCAAGGGCAAAGGAGGGGAAGGTACGTAGGAAATCACCCTGTCTCTGCAGCATCAATCATGTGACTGAGTGGGTGTGGCCAACTCAACGTAACTTGCAGCAAAGTGCCGCACCAGCTTGCTGAGTTGGCCACACCCACCCAGCGGGTCACATGACCACCAAGCCACGCCCACCAAATAAGCCACGCCCACAGAACCGGTAGTAAAAAAATTGAATCCCACCACTGGAAAGTAGACATTAGACTCACTAGGAACTTGGAGAAACAAAGTTAAAAGCTACATGTATCTCAGGAATGAGAACCAGAACAAGGCTGTCAGCTTCTGAGCTAATGGGAAAGTTAGCACAAAATTGATATTCAGCAGATTTCAACACTTTCTTGCTTTAAATCTTATATCCCTCTTATTTTAGCTTCTGGAAGTCTTCTTTGAAGATGAATAGTTGTTTACATTTTCTACATTTCTGCTTCCTTAGTTCTATAAATTTCTGAATTAAATGTTGTCTCTCTGGATGCCAGTTGTAACTTCTGAGTTTCCTTCAAGACTAACCCCATATAGTGGGTATTGCAACAGTCCAAATGAGATGACCAAGTCTTGACTATTGACAAATAGACTGTCATCTGGGAAAAAATGCAACTGGTACATGGAGACTTTCCTGGCCAGGATTGCCACCTGTTAATTAATTGGCATAGAGAGTAATAGCCTGGGGGCTCTACAAGGGAGTTGTGTTCTCCCCTGAAACCTCACCAAGCACTTTTCCTTTGCTTCACCAGAGTGGCTTTCACTTCCTCCAGACCCCATGACTGGCTTCTCACTTGAGGAGGGTTTCCCCGCTCATGCGTGCCCTCCCGACCACACCAGGAGATCATGAGAGGAGAAGGAGGGGGAGGAGGAAGAGGGTCATTTTCAGAGAAGCCTCCTTTACAGCTCGCGCTCATTGCTCAGCTAGCCTGTGTTTA